GTCTAAATAGATATTCAACAAACAAAAGGCATATTTAATATATTCCCTGCACGTGTGTTGGTTCGTGGGTTTTTTACCCACTTTTAAAAGTAAATTTCTGGTAAGATCGAGTGTTTATCACTTAGTATCTTACTGTGATCCACACTATTTATAGAAGCGACTAATGAATCTATTGAATAATATTAACCATAATATAATAACCAATTACCTCATATTAACAACACAATCAAGTCTCTCGATAATCCCCCCAGTATGTCTGCTCATAAATAGCTCAAATGTCGCCGCTACCTTATAGCCCTATCGATTATGCCGTGTAGATGTTTGAGAGAGTACAAGTGAATAGTGCAAGGGCTCCCCATTCTACTGAGTCAAACTGTTCTCTTTTGTATCTCAGCTACTTGACGCTTTTTTAATAGCTGCATTTTAGAGAACAGCTCTTTTTTATGTACACTGCGAAATACACATGTATAAATTATACACGTGTATAAAAAAAGTTAAAATCAGTATTGAGTATTGTTTAACTGCTGTTGGACAAGCGTGAAGCGGGTTTGTTATCGTCTTATCTGCCCATCACAAAGACTCGGGGGTTTGTACCAGCGGATCCAATGGAGAACCCAAGTAATGGTATAGAATCAATGGAACCTCCAAAATCAGTAGCAGATATGATCACCGCTACCTCCCCTGCTGTAGAGGGACCTCTTAAATCAGTAGCAGATATGATCATCGCTACCTCCTCCACTAAGAGAGGACCTAGAGTTAGCTTCAAGGATGCAGCTAATATTAAGATGAAGGAAACCCGGCTTAGTGAGTCAGCAGCATCAAGTGCTGGTAATAACAAGTACAGGAACAAGACTAGATTCGATCTGATGATTGGGAAGATAACGTTAGGACGGAAGAAAGATAAGGAGGAATTTGTTGATGAGCAGGTAAATCCTACATTTGCACGTGCAAATGCTCTAATTGCACGGGCTAATAGCAATAACAAAGGAGAAAGTTGTTGATATGATGAGCAGGTAAATCCTATATTTGCACGTGCTAATGCTCTAATTGCACCTGCAAATAGCAATAACAAAGGAAGAAGTTGATAATGAGCAGGTAAATCAGTTGGCAAATTCCCAACTTCGCATTCAGAAAATACAAACCATATCAAACATCATTCGAATGAACATTAATTGGAAGCTAGGCGGCTAGAGGCCCTAGCGTTCATTTTAATGTTCGGTCAAATAACGTCCGATAAGACAGTAAAATTAAATACATTTAATGAATGCCTTTGTGATCCGTATCTTAATACGACCTAATTGCTATTCACAGATGGAAGAAGGTTGGAATACAAATCGGTCGCATCAAAAGATGAAATTAATATGTTGACTTTCATGCGTCGAGTTATTACTAATAAACACGTTTGCACGTGCAAATGCTCTATTTACACGTGTCACGTGTAAATAGCAATAAAAACGGAAAAAGTATATAATCAATGTAGATGTACTTATTCGTTTTACTGCGTGGTCTAAGCGTTAGTGTTGTCCGGCGAAATATAAGAGTCGGTTCTTTTGCGATAGTGTAAACGCGATAGCTAGCGCCATCCAACGCTTAGGCTAATTAACGCTGGATGGCGCTAGCTATCGCGTTTACACTATCGCAAGAGAACCAAAAAGTCAACAGTACAATAATAAAACGAAATAATAAAATAGTTAATAAATCTTCCTGGTTATCTCTTGATTAAATTCCACATTGTCCATTAGTTAATTGTGCAACGTGACAAAGTGACTGTACGTGGTCGGTAATTGCCTGTACCAACTCATGATCAGTGACGTTAACTAAAAGAGTTTACAGGTTTCGGTATTTAACTTTGTGGAATTTGTACAAAAGGTGTGAATACTTTACTAGTCATTATCACTATCAGTACATTGTTCATTTTTGTAACATATTTACATAATATCATCTTTGTAGCTTATTTACATAGTTTAAGCTGAATTACTTTTTGTCAACGTCTTCATTCCTGACACATAGTAAAAACACGTGCCATACATTTTATCCATTAATAAATTTAAGGTCGACAGGGATTTTAACATGAAGCATTTTACTGTGCCAGGTATCTCACAGTGCCTCGTACTTTACAGTATATTTGTACATTACCCGTTATTGGACCTAGTATTGTCACGCATATCAGTTATCAGAGAGGGCTACATAAATAACATATATGCAGGCTAGGCATTCACCAATATGTATATTTGCTTTTTGGGTTACTATTAAGCCATAGTTTCGGCTTGCGCGATGCCTAGATATCGTTGCCTAGATACCGTTGCCTAGATCACGTTGCCTGGATCACGTTGCCTAGATCACGTGGGAGCGATGCCTATATCACGTGGAGGTTTCCGAGAAGCTTCTATAATGAGAGGCCTTGGTGCAACAAAACCCGATCTTTCGTATTTCGAAAAGGTACTATATAAAGTTATAACTTATTATTTCTATGCACCTGAAAGATATTTGTTCACCTTTGGTGAATTCTTTGTGTTTTAAGCCTTAGCAGTATGGGTTGACTGAAAAGAAAATCATATATTGATAGAGACTATAAATCAAGAGGCTTGCATATAATGAACATATTGACACGGGTGCAGAGTTGAGTCTGTACGGAACCTAGTAGTTTCAGATCCTTGTTTAACTTGCCGTACAGCAAGGTCATCCACTACTTTAGCCCGGCGAGGCACTATGTCAATATTCCGATACATACTACTATTATGTTTATGATGCTATCTCAGCTTTAAGATCTCCTAATTTAGTAATTTGTTTCTAATTTTGTCTAGCTATTATCTCTAAAATGCATAATAATTCCCACGTATATGTTACAGGCTTGTCCGCCGTGGCTTAACCAGTCGGCGGCGGCGGCGTATGCCGGCGTGAGATCGACCCTAAAAGACAAAAATTTGGTCTATTATCGTGCTTTTTTTCCGACAATTGAGTAAAATTGATCTGTGCAAAAATTTGATTTTAATTTGATTTATTTATTTATCTTATTTGTAAATCTGAAATTGAATTTTGAGTGAAACTTTCAGATGATCATACGGAAAAATTCGATGTTACATAATTCACGCCGTCGTACGCCGGGGGTGGTACCGGCGGCGTGCGGCGAGGTCAAATTGACCGGGGCCGCGGCGTCCAGCGGCAGCGGACAAGCCTGGTATGTTAGGCTCACACAAAGGAAAATATGTACAATACCGACCGGATATTGACCGGCTTATAGCCGGCTGTTACGGTAACAACCCTCTAGCTAATAGCCTTCTTACAGCCGGCTTATAGCCAGGAAAACAGGCTACCTCCTCCATTACACGGTCCCCCTGTACAACACGTTTTTTTACGCCGAATCTTTCATCCCACGGAAACCCGTACTACTGAAATGCAGTTTCTTTTGTTTTTCATATTCTGTCTAAATTCAATTCCAATTTCGTGGGAACCATTCGCCGATTCACTGGAGCGCACTAATTGATAACGTGAATCTTTAACACTTTGGTCGTGTGCGAGTAAATATAGTGCTGGTCAGAAAATTCGATGCGGCTTTTTGCACCCAGAAATTAAATGCGATCTGCTAATAAATAAATCGAAATTATAAGCAATGAGGCTGATAAAATCTCAAAACCTAATTAAGAAGCGACATCTCATTTCCTTGGTACCTTAATTCCCAAAAATTTGGGCGACAAAAAATTTGAGCGGGCCTCTCGCCCAAATTTTTTGCAGACCAAATTAATTGCATAAATCTTTTCCGTCTGATAAGTTTTTTGCTAACCAAACTTTTGGCATTTGGCCTGTGGCCCTGAAATCTATAGAAAGATGGCTTTTTCTTCATATCCAAGTGAAATAATATTTGAAATTTTAGTTTTCTAATCTGTCATTCATGGCTTGACCAAGTAAAAAGGCTTATATTTTAAATGAATAGAAATAACTGGAATAGCTTACAGCTACTATAATAAAACAAATGGCTAGAGGTACGGATAGCTAGAGATTTAAACAAGATCTGCAAATGGATTATCATCCACCGTAAAGTCTGATCTACAAGCATCAGTTAAACCCGACTTCTCAAAGCCTTTCCTTATGTCATCTGGCCTCCCTTTTAAATAGACAAAAAGTTCGTTGATCCAACGAGCGTGTACTTCACGGATCACTGTCAAGCGGGTATCAATTTTCACATTGTCTGATGAAACTCCTCCATTGAGCTGACACACTATGTTTTTCGCGTACCAATCTTCGTACTTATTGCGCATGAATTTCTTAGCCAGTCCATTGATAGATATGTCCAGGGGCTGTAGATGATGGGTCATATTAGCTGGAACTTTCTGTAGGATGCAGTTGTTGGCTGTCATCAGATCTTTTAGTGTCTGTGTGTGTTGGGCCCGAAACACATCTGATATCAATAGCGCTTTCTGCTCAGGGTTGTTGATGGAGGCTCTAACTGATTCTATGTGGGGAAGAAGGGTTTTTTCAAAGAACTGGACACTGGTCAAACCTTTCGACCATCTGGTGAGGCGTCATAATGATAATTGTACGTGAAAGGGGTATGATAAGATATGCTGAGTGTAAGTAGACTAAACTATCTGATTGAGAGACTAAATATCACTATTGTATATATCTATCATTTTGTACTGTGCCATCATCACTGTATTTTTTAGTAGTTACTGGGCAGATCGTAAATTTCATAATGCGAAACAACTCAGACTACCACCTACATGCTTAAAATTGAAAGCAAAATGACTGGAATAATAAGGAATAATAATGAACAAATATGTAACTGAAATTTTAGTGGAAAATCGTTCATTTTTCGAAGAATTTGTGCCCAAATTTTCGGTCGCCCAAATGAGTTCAAATTTTCTGCCCAAATTTTTCGGGCTCAAATAAATTGTGCTCAATATAATGGCACACAAATTTTTGGGAACTAAGGTATCATTATTACATGATTAACAATGCCTTATTATTAACAGTAACAAATTGTTAACGCTACTTTTTTGCAGAAAACGTTCGAAGATTGGGTTAGGCGACAGATTAATGTGAGGGAATGCTGTAAGTTTGTGAAGAAAAAAGACCACAAAGATGACCCCATGTAAGTTTATTGGTCTTTTCTAAGTACATATATTATCTAACAGCCCTTTTAATGTCGTTTTTATATTAAACATATTAAGAAGATCAATACTGCCGTTTTCTCAAAAATGTGCTTATAGTCCTAGGATTTTTGAGTGGTATTTAGGCACTTTTGTCAGAAAACAGCAGTATTTCTGCAAACTACGAAAAACTAATTCAGTAAAAGAAAGTCTACCTTTAACCAAACAATAATGAGAATATATCCTAGATGCAAGTGCGGGAACAAAAGGTCTAACCATCTCCCGAGGACGGTGGAGATGACCCCAGACGCTAAATGGGACCAGCCCAGCTGTACCACTCTTGTTGAGAACTGTGCTTTTGGCAAGATTAACTTCTCAGGTTAGCACTGTTAACAATAAGTTAATAATACAAGAGCACACTCTTTTTTTATTAACTTATTAACTCAACATTCTTTGGATCGTGTTTTTATGACTTGATAGTGTGCGAAGCTCCTATTGCAAGATTTAAATTGCTCAAATGGCATTTCACTTATCATTAACAATTTACCTCCAAAATCCATCTTTTTCTGCACCAACAATCATTTATAACCTTCCACTTTTACTTTTTTACAAAAAAGTGGATGGAACAATTTCCAAATATATAAATGTTATAATTTGTTAGGTGTGGACACAACCACTCAGCCACAGTACATGAGGATAGCAGTTGATAACGGTCGTACGGAGACTATAAAGAAACTGGAACGATTGTTCACAGAGTTTTGGAAGCTTAACGAACCTGGTTAGTGTAAGAGTGTTATATACTTATATAGAAGTATAGAGTAGAGAGTTAGAATACAGTGTTACATTATAACTTTCAGTTTTCAGAGGTACCACAGAGGAACTTCTACTAGAACTGTTCTAACTAACCTCCACACCACGCACAATCTGTAATCTTACTTTATCTGTTGCCATTTTACTGACACCACGACATTAATTTTAACACGACTTTCCGAGAAAATCTAAGGAACCTCCACCTAACCAAATACACGTTCAATCTAGATAAGTAGATACACTACACACTACACACTAGAACACACTCAATCTATAAGTCTATAGTTAAAATGATTGGTTTATTTTGAGAAAACATTATTTTTGTCGATGCCATAATCACAAAAAGTGATGATTTTTACCAATACCACGTAACCATGCATGTGAGTGATAATGTGATTCAGCGTGTATCAGGTTACATATTGAGTGTGTCTAAATAGCGCACCAATTAGCTATAAATTGCTGTATTGCTCATTTATTGTGTCTTAACTCTAAATAGCAATAAATAAGTGTATTTTAGTTCTCATTTCTTGCTCATTTCAGACGCTCCAATTAAATCGCTCGCCCAAATTTTAACAAATCGTGTGAAACGGCCCAGGGTAGAAAGTAGACTCATTCTGCGTATTTTCGGACGCTTATTCTGAATCAGCCCCCATGGGGTAAAAACCTCTCCCCGAGGAGTGTGTCTACATAGCGAACTGATTAGCTATATAAATTGATTTCTTACTCATCTCAGGTTTAATAATTAACATAACTCAAACTGAAAAATCATCCTGAGTAATAAACATAACTAAATAACCATCCTGAGTAATAACTATCCTCTCCCCAGATTTATTGATATCAGTAACAGGAGGAGCTAAGAGTTTCAACGTGTCTCACGATATCTGCGGCTCATTTCAACAGGGTTTACTCAGTGCTGCTAAATCAACTAATGCCTGGCTGATAACCGGTGGACAGAACTGCGTGAGTAAATCTCAAAAAAAAATTTAAAATATATTGTATAATATAATGGAAAAATTAACAAGAGAGGCGCCAGTACCAAGAGATAAACCCTTTCCGCAATCCAGGTCCTGGGCAAACCAGGAGAAATAACTTACAGTTGAATATTGTGTTGTACTCCTACAGTTGAACATTCTATTATAGATACCTTACTTGGGGACTCCAGGCTATAATGTTCATAAACAAACATTCCGTTTTATAAAGATTCGGCGTAATGACAGGCTGAGCGTGGCACAGTAAAATATAGATAGCTTATCGGAAGTTATTTGACCGGACATTGCGTGAATGGACATTAATATGAGCTCTCTAAACGGACATAAATATGAGCTTTCTAACCGCAAATAGGGAAGAAACAACCGCACAATTTCGTATTATTGCTATAACATTACCTTATCGGACTTTTAAACTTTTTATTTGAACGGACATTAATATGAACGCTATGGGCCTCAAGTTTCAAATTGATGTCCGTTCAATACAATAGGTTATTTTTACTTTATCGGCTAAAAGTTCGGTTAACTGCTTTTAAAAGTTTGTAGAGTTCGGCACCTTTTGAAAGTTCGTTAAGTGCGTTTCCCCTATGTAGTGGTGATATTAATATTTAAACAGCAAAGTGTAAAGCGGCCCATGCTGATACATATTACTGTGAAGTGTGACCGAGATATCATGTCTTTAAAAACCCTTATAGAAAATATATAATATAACTGCCCCACTATTAACTCAAGGAATATTGAGTTTGTTGACTCAAATATAAAACTTAAATTTTTACATTCTGTAACTGGACAGGTGAAGGGAAGTAAAATTCGGGATAAAATGTACGACTCTATCTGCCCAAACGAGCTGTCCCCATTACGTCAATGGGTTATTGACCTAAATAATCAACCAATAGATTGGGCGGTCGTTCTTAGCAACCTATTTTTCTTAGTATCTAAAAATTTTAAGTTGATTCAATTTCAGTATAAGCTTTTAATGAGGATCACGACGTGTAGATACATGAGACAGAAAATGAAAATTGTTACAGATACTCCCATGTGTAGCCTGTGTAACACATACTTAGAAACAATTCCTCATATCTATCTCCATTGTATCCACACAAATAGCTTCATCACAATACTTGAAGACTTTATAAAAAGGAAAATCGATACAAATTACAAAGACCCCAATAAAATTAATTTTATAGTTTGTAATCACACTTCACAAATTATAAATTATTTTAATATTGTTGCCAAATGGTACATTAGCAAAAGATTTCAGGCAGGGGACATGCCGATCTGGCAGGGATATATCAAACTTCTTAAACTTTCACTTACTGGAGACAAAATAGGCCACAAAAGTTCTATTGTGTCGATCTTGGCCGATTAGGGCAAATTGTCCACCCCATTTATATTGCTGTCTTTGTTATTTTATTATCAATGGTTATTGTTACTATCTTACAGTACTACTAACTGTTTTTTGTAGTACATGCCCTGCTTCCTTCCATTCTTAAACTACCTTACAAGCTCTTCCTCTTTTACACCCTTTTCAATCACTTCATTTCACTCATTCACTTCATATCTTATTACCACAGTATCTGCCAAAACCAACA